GAAATGAAACAAAATCTATGCATAGCGTAATGAGGATTTAAATTAAAATATTAAATCAATGAAAAAAATTCCGATAAAGTAATTTGCCTGGGAGCTTTTTTCAGAATGAGTCACATGACCATGGGCGTGGCCTGATGACGTCATCCCTAGTGTTGCTGATCATGAAAAAGTTAAAACACATGAAATAACTCTGAAGTAACTAAAAATGACGAGGTTACATGAAAATAAATTTTCCCTAGCAACGGCTCGAAAAAATCGGTTAATGGGCCCTTAATAGACCATTTTACAGTTGTCTGCTCAGTGAGCTGGCCTTTGAATGGCAGCGAGGCTGGAGGTGACCTTTTGTTGTGTAAAACGAAGTTGTTCTAATGTTAATTAGGTGCATTTACGTTCATGACAAAAGAAGACAAAATCATGACACAAGCCCGCACTGATCAAAGTTATTAAATCGAAGGATTACTTCTTAAAACAACACGGCATGGCGATTTACTTGATGCGTACAAGACGCGCGCTTTTTATATGATTTGATGCATGCTGTGTACAGGTTGCTGATGAGGGTCTAAAACCCCGTCAATCTTAGTTCGGAACAAATGAAGCCTAAAATACCTAAAATAAGTGACTTATCTACCGCTGTGTACTTGTGTGTTGGAAACGCCCGCATAAGTCTGTACCTATCACAATTAATGCTTGCAAGTTTTAGCCTTTTCTTTCACCACATAGACCAGAGGAAAATTGTAAAGCTACTGACGTATTCCTTTGTAGATTGTTCAATAGCAAAAAGGACGATGATAGACTGTGGGTACGGCCATTAGACGCCCAAACTGTTCATATCGAACCGCCAATGCAAGACATATTCAAGGCTTTGGAAATTGTCAATCCGGTCGATGTCAAAGTGGTTATTTTAGGTCAGAATCCGACTCCTCAAAACAGTAGAGCTACTGGCGTGGCATTTAGAGTTGATGAACCGCCCACCGTTCCATCGGCATTGAACGTATTGATGGAGGTCTGTGCTCAGAAAATAGGCCAACCAAAGTATCGATCGAATTTAAAGAGGCCAAGCTATTTATACGCTGGCAGCATAAACATAATTTCGAGTCAAACACTCCGCTTTTAAGCTTGGCTAAATCCATATGTTACAGTTCTTCTACAAAACGTATTCTTTTTGGTAACTATTTAGTGTCGAGAATCAACATCTTAATATAATGTTCTTTGTGTCAAGGATCATTGTTGTTACGAGCTAAAAGAGCGTCTACGTAGAAGACTGCATTGTCCTGAATCCAAGCTGGTTTTAAAGAAATTCAAAATGTAAAATTATTATTAAGCTATCATGTTGTAAAGCTTATAAAAGTTTCTATGCAATGTTGGACGCCACAGCATGAGCACACATCTGGTGGCGTGTTGCGAGGAAATTTTATTGTACATAATGAAAACAAGAAATAAAGAACATAGAAACACGTGCTTCAAAGAGATTTTTTTAGGGAAAGCTTTTCATCCTCGTCTATAACCATACCGTTTGCTGCTATCGGGTTCAGCTACTAGGCGTTTTATCATCTTTGCGCTTTCAATTTCAGTTGGCAAAATTTAACCTTCTTTGAAACGATTCTACATTAACACAATTATTGAACTTTCTAACCTCGCTTCAAGCTTATGTAACGGTTATGTGCTCTTTATAGTATCAATAATATTTTGAATTAATATCACCAAACTAGTGGACTAATGCAAATCCTGCATTTTAATTGACTACGCTACTAGAGGACTATTAGTAATAGTCCTCCAGTAACGAAATTGGAGCAACCGAGCGTGACGCTTTTTTTTCGTTTTATTCCCAAATAAATATTTCTTCAACTTGCATTTGTTAACTTTATTATTGCCTTTTCTGTCCAACTAGTTAGGTGATACTAAAACAATTAGACCCTTCGCCCTCAAGGGCCACGGGTAAATAGCCCATTCGGCTCCGCCCAATAGGCGCAATGGGGGCTACGGATCTAAGTTTTAAATATGTCGCAGTGAGAGGAGCATGCTTCAATTTCCAAAGAATTTCTATTGATTCGATTTTAGGCAAGACATTCAGTCTTCGGTGAACTAACTTACTAATGGGTTGAGATAACTACGGCTATAAGCAAAAATGCGATTTCTTATTAATAGCCAGTTTTAGCCTTTTGTTTCTTTAAAATTATTTTACAGAAAATCAAAATTAGATTTAGATTTGTGCTACCCGTGCTATCATTTACACTAGATTGCCAATTTCAGTCCGTCGTGGTGCGAGGAATGCATAATTATGTTAAAAGCGATTGACAGAAATAAGGCGATTCTTAAAACATATTTTGGCGCTCGACTTTGGAGAAGATATTAACGCCAACTATCAAGTTACTAATGGGATTTTAGTGTTGAATCAGTAAACCGTGCCTTCTCTATAAAAAAACCCATAAGTACCAGTTATTTCTTGCATTTTAAATCAGACAATTCAAAATTTCTCTAAATTTTACTTAACAAAACCAATTATAAGGAATTTACAGTGCAGTTTAAATCTTCGGCGCTCCGGCGTTATTTCGTTTTAAAATTATGGCGTTGTGTAAGGTTGAAGTTTTCACCAGTTGACACTTTGAACAGCGGATCTCTCCAAACGTATATCGTCTGTTTTCGGTGACGATTTTAGTTCTGAATATCAACTTACGAAGTTGCTAACGAGTAAACTATTTGTTAACCATTGTATCTGCTGCTTCAGCGAGATCATTAGTTCATGGTACTACGATGACGTCATGCACCCACTTGACACGTTAACTTGTCTTATATGGAAAGATACAACAGATTGTCCACTAGTCTTGGCGACCTCCAATTCACATATATAGCGATTAGGAATCCTCGTTTTGTCTCCTTCAGCACACAGGTAACATTCATCTTATCAATGTTTTGTGTCCACAACTAGCTTAAAAGATTGTGATTCTATCTTTAACTTCACGATCAAATACTCAGTTAAAGTTTTTAGTAGAGCCAATGTTTTGTTCATTTATTTTCATTTATTTTTCATTCTTCATACATTCTACGTTAAAATTGCCTTTTGCATCGCTTTTCTAATCCATGAGCTACGATCCTGGCCTTTCGGGTTATTAAAAAAAGTAAAGAAACTATTTGCAGCGTAGACCACAATAACGAACTACTGAATTCGTCAACTTTTGCGGTCAAAAAATAGTTCAAGGAAATTATCGATCAAATTATAAGATACCAAATGAATCATATGGTGATGGCTTGAAAGTAAGGGTCAGTGAATTTCTCTATTCTGATATTAATATAGTGCTTCTACAAAATAGACATTGTGTTTCGCAAGTACTTAGTATTAAGTATCAACTTGTTCATTGTTGTGGGCCCAAACAGATTCAGTTTAGAGAACTTCGTTATACAGCTAATAGAAATTGTCCTTTTCCCGTTGCTGCCACATAAACTCTCTTTTCATGGCGTATTGCGAGGCACTGTTCCTATGATATTAGAAACTAGGAATAAAGAACATAGCGAAAGAAATGTTTTCAACCAAACCAATCATATGGAGATGGCTTGAACGTAAGGCTCAGTGAAAAGAAGAAGTTCTCTATTAATCTGATATTAATATAGCGCTTCTACAAATAGATATTGTGTTTCGCAAGAAATTAGTGTCGAGTATCAACTTATTAATGATCATCGTGTCAAGCATCATTGTTGTTACGAGCCAAAAGAGCTTGTGTGTTAAAAGCTACATTGTTGTGGGTTCAAACTGATTCAGTTTAGAGATAGGGCTAAAAGAATTTGTCCTTTTCCCATTGCTGTCACATGAACTCTCTTTTCTCTCTGGCGAGTTGTGAGGAACTGTTCCTATGATTTTGCAAACTAGGAATACAGAACAAAGCGAAAGAAATGTTTTCAAAATATTCGATTCGTAAAAGAGCTTTTCACTCTCGATTACCAACTTACTTTCGCTGTTGGCAGGTTGCACAAGCAAACAAAATATAAGACTTGGTGTCTTATTTTAGATGACAAAATTTAACCTTACTTTAAAATGATTCTACATTTAAGTATTTATGGGTAATAAAACTGTTATGCTCTTCAAAGTATAAATAGTATTTTGAAATATCCGTGGTGACAGAAACAAGTTATAATTTTAAAGGAATTTCAGTTGAATTCGGGCGAGGCTTTCAGTCTTCAGTGCGTTAACTTACTAATGGGTTTAGATAAATAAGGCCACAAGCAAAACCATAATTTCTTATTAATAAGCATTTGGCGTTCTGTTTCTTTAACATCAATTTTGGCGAAAATCAAAATCATATTTAGATTCGAGCGATTACCAATTACAGCGCGATATGGAGCGAGAAACGAAATTACGATATAACCGATTGACAAAAAAGTGAAGATCCTTCAAATATAGTTTGCCGATCGACTTTGTAGAAGATATTAATGTTACTAACGAGATTAAGTTCTGAATCAGTAAACCGTGCCCTCTCCATAGAGAACATACAAGTACCAGTTATTTCTTGCATTTTAAATCAGATAGTTCAAAAGTTCTCTAAACTTTACTTAGCAAAACCAATTGTAAGGAATTTACAGTGCAGTTTATATCTTCGCCGCTCGTTATTTCGTTTTAAAATTATGGCGTTGTGTAAGGTTGAAGTTTTCACCAGTTAACCATTGTATCTGCTGCTTCAATGAGATCATTAGTTCATGTTACTGCAATGACGTCATGCACCCACTTGACACGTTAACTTGTTTTCTAAGGAAAGATACAAGAGATCATTCACTAGTCTTCTCTTGACGACCTCCAATTCATATAGAGATCAGCAATCCTTGTTTTGTCTCCCTCAGCACACAGGTAATCTTGATCTTGCAAATAATTTGTCTCCACAAAATTAGCTTTTCAAAACATTTTTTTTTAATTTAAGTCGTATTTTAATAGTTATTTGTTAAGTTAGCTTTGGAAATTATTCCATGAGCTAAGCAAGTCAGTTAAAGGATTTTGATTACGTCTTTAACTTAACAACCAAATACTTAGTTAATGTTTTCAGTCTGCGACCAATTTTTATACCTTCATTTCCATTTATTTTTTATTTCTATTTTTTTATTGTTCATACACTCTAGGTTAAAACTGACCTTAGCATCGTTCTTCTAATCGATGTGTTACCCAGCCATACCAGTTATTAATTAAAAAACGTGAAGAAATTATTTGTAGCGTAGACCACATTAACGAACTACTCAATTCGTCAATTTTTGTGGTCAAAAAATAGTTCCAGAAAATTATCGATCAAATTGTAAGATACCAAACCAATCATATGGAGATGGCTTGAACGTAAGGCTCAGTGAAAAGAAGAAGTTCTCTATTAATCTGAAATTAATATAGCGCTTCTACAAATAGATATTGTGTTTCGCAAGAAATAAGTGTCGAGTATCAACTTATTAATGATCATCGTGTCAAGCATCATTGTTGTTACGAGCCAAAAGAGCTTGTGTGTAAAAAGCTAAATTGTTGTGGGTCCAAACTGATTCAGTTTAGAGAACGTCGTTATAGAGCTAATAGATTTTGTCCTTTTCCCGTTGCTGCAACGTGAATTATTTTCCTGGCGTATTATGAGGAACTCTTCCTATGATATTAAAAACTAGGGATGTTATTAATGATCATTGTGTCAAGCATCATTGTTGTTACGAGCCAAATTATAAGCGTGTGTGTAGAAAGCTGCATTGCTGTGGGCCCAAACTGATTCGTTATACAGCTAATAGATTTTCCCTTCTTCTCGTCGCTGAACTGAGCATGAACTCTTTCAGTGACGATTTACGAAGAACTCTACCAATGATATTAAAAACTAGAAATAAAGAAGATGAGGTAAGAAATTTTTACAAAAGATTCGATTTTGGTAAGAGGTTTTCCCCATTGAGTATCAATTTACTTTAGCTGTTGGCAGGTTGAACAAGCAAACAAACTTCATATAAGAATTTGCGTCTTCAATTTTAGATGACAAAATTTAACCTTCATTTGAAATGATTCTACGTTAAAGTAATCATAGGTAATATAAATGTTTTTCTCTTCAAGGTATCAATAATAGTTTTGAAATATAGCGCGGTGAGAGGAACAAGTTATAATTTTTAAAAATTTGTATAGAATTCCAGCTAGGCTTTTAATCTTCAGTGTATTAACTTACTAATGGGTTTGGATAAATAAGGCCACAAGCAAAACCGTAATTTATTATTGATAAGCATTTGGCCTTCTGGTTCTTTAAAATAATTTTTGGCGGAAATCAAAATCATATTTAGATTTGTGTTATCACCAATTACAGTGCGATATGGAGCGACGTTATAACCGATTGACAAAAAAGTGAACATTTTTCAAATACATTTTGGCCGATAGATTTTGGAGAAGATATCAATGCCGACTATCAAGTTACTAACGGGTTTTAAGTTCTGAATCAGAAACCGTGTCTTCTCTATGAAGAACCCACAAGTACCAGTCATTTCTTACATTTTATTATTAAATCAGATAATTTAAACTTTCTCCATATTTTACGCAACGAAGCAAAATGTAA